AGTGAGTTTGGAGTAAAAATATGTTATTAAATGTGGTATTTTCACATGCTTTCAGATGGAGCAGCATTTACTTTTTTACATTGAGAAGCTATGCAAACAGCTGTCATTATCGCGAACGATTTCTTCGATTTCAGAGTCGCGCAAAAAAATCGTCTGCTAATTTTTTAATTTTTTTTTTTTTTTTTTTTGCAAAAACATGGAGATGGTACATCTACCAAATTGCTCTAATGATTGGAAAACCTATGAAAAATTGATTATATTTTAATTATATTTTTATATATCATTAATAAAATTCATAAAATGGTATTATTTTAAATGTAATTTTTTTTATTCACTAAAAGGAATATATTAAATTGACAGCCATTTCAAAAACACAAATACATGCACATACACACAAACATGGAGGATTGTGCTCTTTGAAGAGGTAAAGAACCAGATTGTGGATCAAGGGCCACCTCTGATTCTTTTGGCTTTGGATAAATTGGACTCATCTCTGCTATTTGCTGGAGGGAGTCATGTTATTGAAATGATAATGAAATGAATGATATCGCTTCTCTGTTCCTCTTTCTCTTTGTCATTTTTTGTTCCTCATCTCGTCCTTGCTGTCTGCTTTTTCTGTCTCCGCTATCCGAGTATAAATATGGGGCATGTGTGTGTGGTGCCATTTAACAACGTCCATTCATTGAAATGAATGAAGAGGACTTCCTAAAGGAAGTTTGGAGGACCATGTTCGCATCATCCCATCGATTACCTCATTTTCTTCGATGTCGGCGTTAGTTAGTTCTCCACAGTTAGTTAGGGGAGGACATTGAATTTGAGTCATGCTGTTTCACATTTACCAACTCAATCTGGTCTTCCTTTTTCTGCATTGTTCTTATATGAGCATGAGAACTCATGCTGAAGATTTGCATAGAAGCAAATCTCTTTCTCTGTCTCATTGCTAATGTCCGTCTCATCGCAGTCATATGCAGGAGACTGAGTCAGTGCAGTGTGAAGATGTTAAATTGATGCCCAGCTGTGGTGAGCCCTTGCTTGGCTGAGCTCAGACGGACAGTCCTTACTGACACCTGATATTTATCTAAATAGGCTCTGCGTGATGCAGAACCAAAACACTCCGGTAGGATTAGCAACATGTTGGAAATTCATCAGGGCATGTTAGCATGAGCGCTCAGCATTATGAACAGCAATTATTTGCCTGTTTTGCAAACAAACTGAGAGTGTGTCCTAACTGGATTGACTATGTATCTGTTAATTGAAGGGAAAAATATTATTATTATTGTTGTTGTTGTTATTATTATTATTATTATTATTATTGTCTTTTGCATGATCACGTTGTCATTCCCTTATGAAAATGGTGCATTGTAAAAATTGTTTCCTGCAACAAATTATAAAAATAAAATAAATAAATACAGAAAATTAAACTTGGAAATCTGCTACATATGGAGGAAATTTAAATGCAAAATGTTTTAAAAATGTTTTTTAAAAGTGTTAACATGTTATCGTAGTATAGTAATTTAATATACTATGAATAGACTACTGAAACTTTGAATAAACTACTGAATTTGATTTTATTGATATTATGATTTTATTAATTTATAAGATACATTTAATTAATCAAAAGTTATTTTGAACTTTCTATCTGAAATAAATAAATAAACACAAAATATTAAAATTTGAAAATCTGCTACATATAATGGAAATTTAAATGCAAAATATTTTTTAAATGTTTTTATAAGTGTTGACATTTTAACTTAGTATATTAATTCAATATACTATGAATAAAATATAAAACAGCAATAAATGGACAAAATACATACATTACTGAATTTGATATCATAATATTATTATGATTTTATAAATTTATGGGATACATTTACCCCCGGTTTCACAGACACGGCTTAAGGCTAGTTGCAGATTAAAATGCATGTTTGAGCTGTCTCAACTGAAAATATCTTGCTCTGACATATAGCTTAAAAAATGTCAGTTCCATTGTTCTGTCTCAAGATGTTACACATGCAATGTTTTCTTCTAAGGCATTTTTATAAAAGCTGCGTAAATATCTTAATTTAACTATGGCCTAGTCCTGGCTTAAACTAAGCCCCGTCTGTGAAACCGGGCCTTTATTTTTCAAAAGTTATTTTGAACTCTATCTAAAATAAATAAATAAATATATATTTTTAAAAAATCTGTAGTTTGGAAATCTGCTACATATGACGGAAACTTTGGTAGCTGCAATTTTTCTTTTCTTTTTTGTAAGGGATTCTAAATTATACTCTTTCAGTACCCTTTATGTTGCATACATAAAATGTAGCAATCACTAGGTCTGTGATATCAGGTTTCTAATTACTGTGACTCTAATGACTCATTAAGTATATTGTACATTTGCGCTGTATTGACACTCAGTTAAATGCCTATGGTGCAGAGCTGGTTTCCAAACCTCATCAACACCCTCATAACTCAACTCTAATCGTGATAATATCTGATGGCTAATGATTCCAGGTGCAGTGATGTCGCCACCTTGCTGCATGGAGGATGAACTGCATTTTGCTCTGTGTCCTCTCTGCACAGGGCATCGTTATGGAGCTCTTGTGTGGTTCTCCCTCTGTTGGCACTCACGTGGATGTCAGCTGTGTTGGCCATCACAGACCGCCGATCAACCCTCTTCCAGGTGCTCTTTGCTCTCTTTGACTCAGTCCAGGGATTCGTCATCATCACTGTGCACTGTGCCATGCGCCGAGAGGTCAGTGGGCAACATCAATGATGCAGCCGGCAATGATCCAGTTATCTGTGTAGAAATTATAACAAGAGTCACAATTATAAAAGATAAAGTTATTAATAAGTCAAAGTGTTTTCCTGGGTCAGAATAGTCTTTGGTGGGTAACTTGTGTACAGGGTCACCCACAAGGAAAAAGTAGCCTGCTAACAACTTCCACAGGTAATTAGAATATGGGTGTAGAATTTATTTATTTATTTATTGAGTTACTTAGTCAGTCAGTTAGTTCGTTAGTTATTAATAATAATTTACTTATTCTTTATACTTATTCTTAGGCTTAAATGCAAAATGTTTTTTAGAGTATTAATGTAATATACTATTGTGTGTTCCATGATTTAATATTGATTATAATTTATGATTATAACTATGATTATAATTTGCAGATTGTTATTGATTTTGATATTCCGCTTGTCAACAATTCCAATGATATATACAGTGGGTACGGAAAGTATTCAGACCCCCTTCAATTTTTCACTCTTTGTTGGTACAGCAGGATGAAAAAACTAAACATAAATAGCTTTTTTTTATTTAACAATAGTTTACTGAACGAATTGCTCTTTCTTTAAATAAATTCAAGTATTATAACATTTTTCTTAGGGATAAAAATCTATCTCAGCTTCTGCTCTAAACTATAGGGAGCCCTTCTATAAGGTTACAATTAACAACAGGGCCCAAACTTAAATTCAGTTACTATTTATTTTTAACTATAATAATCAACACTCAAATTAACAAATTGTATGCAAACATGTAAATTGTTTTTAAATTATACAATTTCTATTTGTTGTTGAAATATACTAATTTACAGAGTCATAACTTGTTTCATAAAATATGTATTTAAACATATGCATTAAATAATTAAGACATCACTAACAGGTAAAGTAAATATAATGAAGTATAGTCTAATATTTCACAAAATGCTCTTCACTAGACAACTTCACATTTCTCTAGCAAATAACGAGCTGTAGACACTGATGACTTGCCTGAGGTAAATTAAATTCTACGTTACATTTTGTTTAGAAGCTGTTTAAATTACGTCTTTCCGCGGTTGAAACAATAACTGAGCGATTATGTGAGGGGTGAGATGTTCATTCATGTATATTTCACGTTAAAACTAGTAATAAAGATGAAGAGATGATCATGCTCACTCGCGCTCTCCGCGCTGCCGTTAGAACTGATGCGTTAGTATAATACAGCAATATGTCGCATCACATCAAAGAGCGTCAAAACGGCATTTATTGTCTGAATTTCCTGAAAGAATTGAACGATTTTTTCGGTACACATGTGTACCGAACCGAAAGACCCGTACCGAAAATTTTTGGTACGAATACATGTACCGTTACACCCCTAATATATACAGTTGAAGACAAAATTATTAGCCCCCTATAAAATATTTCATTATTTTTTAAATAATTCCCAAGTGCTCTTTAACAGAAATAATATTTTTTTTCAATACAGCATTTCTAAACATAATAGTTTATTTAGGAAGCTTGGAATGTTTGTAATATAAATAGAAACAAAATTATAACCAAGAATAAAAAAAAGTCTACAGGCCAAAATTATTAGCCCTCTGATGTTAATAGTCAATGGTGTATCCCTTTTGCTTGATAACAGCCTTTAGTTGTTTGTTGTAGTTCTCAACAAGTTTCAGGCATGTCTCCTGAGGAGTTGCAGCCCATTTCTCCTTAGCAAATCTCTCAAGCTCCTCCAGATTGGTTGGTCTCCTGGCATGGACTCTGGTCTTCAGTGTGCCCCACAGATTTTCGATTGGATTCAAGTCTGGGCTTTGTGCAGGCCAGTCATTCACTTTGCTCATTTGGAGGTAGTTCTACACCAGAAATGAGGTATGCTTTGAGTCACTATCATGCTGAAAGACAAAACGTCGACCCAAACCATCTTTTGTTGCAGGTTGTCTTTCAAAATCTTCTCGTAGTCTTCCATTTTCATTATTCCTTCGACCCTGACGAGATTCCCAGTTCTAAACGCACTGAAACATCCCCACAGCATTACACTCCCACTGCCATGTTTCACTCTGGAGGCAGTGTTCTTTGGGTTGAGCACCTGTCTCTTCTTACTCTGACTGCAGTGTTAATATTTTCATTGTAGACCTATAATTCATAATAGACCTGTTTTAAAATACTTTTTTTTACATTTTAATTGAGGAGTAAATAACCTAATCTTTTATTATCCTCGCCTGCACGTCAGTTATTTGGTAATTATTGCGGAGCAAATTAATTGTAATTTTAATTTATTAATAAAAGTAACTTCATAATAATAATAATAATAAAAATAAGAATGTAACAGGCCTACATTAATTGGAAATGCTAGTTCTCAACAAGTTTCAGGCATGTCTCCTGAGGAGTTGCAGCCCATTTCTCCTTAGCAAATCTCTCAAGCTCCTCCAGATTGGTTGGTCTCCTGGCATGGACTCTGGTCTTCAGTGTGCCCCACAGATTTTCGATTGGATTCAAGTCTGGGCTTTGTGCAGGCCAGTCATTCACTTTGCTCATTTGGAGGTAGTTCTACACCAGAAATGAGGTATGCTTTGAGTCACTATCATGCTGAAAGACAAAACGTCGACCCAAACCATCTTTTGTTGCAGATTGCCTGAGGTTGTCTTTCAAAATCTTCTCATAGTCTTCCGTTTTCATGATTCCTTCGACCCTGACGAGATTCCCAGTTCCAAACGCACTGAAACATCCCCACAGCATTACTGTGCTGCCATGCCATGTTTCACTCTGGAGACGTTGTTCTTTGGGTTGAGCACCTGTCCCTTCTTACTCCAAACATAGGCAGCATCTCTATGGCCAAAGAGCTCTACTTTTGTCTCATCTGACCAAAGGACATGTTTCTAGTATACATAGTTTTTCTCCAGGTTGTCCTTCAAACTTCAGTCTAGCTTGAAGGTGTCTATTCTTCAGAAGAGGAGTTTTTCTTGGTCGGCAACCTCACAGTCCATTCCTGTCCGGGCCTCTAGTGTCCGTCTTCGTTGAGATATCAATCCCAGATTTACTAAATCATTCACTAGTATCTTGGCAGTTGTTCTTGGGCCTTTAGAAACCTCTCTCAATAGTTTTCTTTACAAAGTTTATGAAATCGTTCGCTTCCTGCCTCTGTTCTCCACTGTGTGGGTCTCTTCAAACTTCTTGATAATACTTCTCACGGCTGTTCTTGACACATGAAACCGCTTTGATAAACGTGTATATGCTTCTCCTCCTTTGTGAGCATTAACAATTATTTTTCTCTAGTCTAAACTATTTTTTTTTGTCTTTGACATGATGACAGTACATATTATTTTACTAGTTGTTTTGAAAGATACTAATCTTTAGTTTACAGTGTAATTTAAAGGCTTAGAGGATTAATCAAGGTTAATTAGGCAAGTTAGGTTAGTTAGGCAAGTCATTGAACAACAGTGGTTTGTTCCGTAGCCAATCAAACAGATAACTTCTTAAGAGGGCTAATGATATTGACCTTATAGCAATTTTTTTATTATTATTTTTTAAATAATTATTGTATTCCAGATGAAAAATATAATAAGAAATACTGTTAAAATTCCCTTGCTCTGTTAAACATCACTTGGGAAATATCTGAAAAAGAACTGAAATTTCATAGGGGGGCTAATAATTTTGTCTTCAACTGTATATATATATAGAGTTTGATAAACCATGGCATAGATAACATCAGTCTTCATCACAATATTAAGTGCGTGAGCTTGGCCATAACAATATAATAAATAAAAGTTTCACTGTTATACTGCCAATCTTAGAGGACAGTCAGAGGTGTATTTAAATGGAGATTGGAGGAGGACTTTTATTTGAGTCCATTATTAAGGCGCACTTAGGAATAAAACGTGGCTTGGACCGCTGACGCAATCAATTTTTTGAAATAGCATGCACTGCTTTCACGTAATAATGGGTTGGTTTGACCGGCCATAAATAAATCAACTGATGGATCAAACTATAGTCACATTGTAGTGGGTCTGTAGCCAAGATGTGACAGTTTCAACTCTCCAGCATGTACTGAATCTTGGCTGACTTTCACGTACCAGGTAAATCAAAATATGCTGCTGGAGTTTAAGGAGGGAGAGAAAAAATCAGTTCTAAATCGCTAAGCCATATATGTTAAATCAATATCGCAAAACCGAAGGATTAGAGTAAAATAAATCCTGGTATTATTTTAGTAAATATATGAAAATCCCTGGCAAGGCTTTGATGTAATCCTTAATAGCTTTAGCAAAACAAGAGAGTGGAGTGTAGTTTGTGCACCGGATCCTTGCGCTATATGCAGTTTGATGTGCGAAGTACACTTTGAAATGGAAGAGCCAACAATGGAAAGGCAGCATTCATGATTAGCACAGGCAAATGAGTGGAGGATGTTTGTGGGAATAGTTTGTTCTCATGCATTTATGAAGATAGCGAGAGCCTAGAAGGCATGCCATCGGGTGTCATTCTGATACGTCTACAGCTTTGACTCGGCAGACAGTCATCCATAAACAAGCTCTGAGAATGAGACCGTCTCCCGCTCTGTCTTGCAAAACAGCCTAGCCTTTCTGCACATCGTAATTTTAGCTGTGGGGAGGGGAGCAGACTGATTACAGATTCTGGTCTAGGCCGGTGAATAGTGTTGCAGCATGATAACTCATGCTCAGTTGAATAGAAAGAGAAGGGATTTACTAAATAGTGCAGAGAATGTGCAGTCGATAAATAAAGTGTTCCACTTCCAACAGAATATGCTTGATGCTATTCGGAGGACGCAAGTAGATTAAAGTGTCATTTGTTCAGCGTGTAACCTTTGCAAACCATAAAGGTCGTGGCAGATCAACCACTTGGGTACAACATGTTGTAGAATTAACGTGTCTCAAATGTGCCTCCAGTGAACACTTTTGATGGGATTTTGTGTAGATCATGTCTGCGATCAAGCAAAATACATTAAAAAGAGGAATATTGTGAAATATTATGAATATTTTAAATCACTATAGTTTTCTATTTTAATATATTTTAAAATTAAAATGTAATTTAAGCTGAATTTCCAGCAGCCATTATTCCAGTCTTCAGTGTCACATGATCCTTCAGAAATCATTCTAATATGCTAATTTGGTGCAATAAAGAAATATTTCTTACAAACAGCATGTATTTGAAATATAAATATCATTATATCATATATATATTATATCATATGATAAATGTCTTTGCTATCACTTTGCCTATCACAGACTGCCCCAGTGACAAGCTGTTGTACCCCTAAATGTAAAATGTTTGCACTTTTTCGAGCAATCAGTCTGTCAATACAGCGTTTGAGCAATTTCTAAGATGTCTATTTACACCTGTATTTAGCTCTGTCCTCATGTGATTGTGGGGCCTTTGCTGTGCATCCAGACAGTCTAAGAAAATTTCGGTCATTATCTGTTATGTTCTTTGTTGGCATAAAAAAAGCTCTGATCTTCCCAATTAGGAAACACTGTGCTTTCACTTGGTCATTCCGTAGGCGTTTTGGCCATAAATCTGTATGCAAATTAGTGGCATCCCGTTGCTAAGGCTACACTGTCGTCAGGGGAAACAGCCTATCACGTTGTCTTTTTTTTTTTATTAAAGGGAGTGTCTTCCTCCCTATTGTTGTAGAGCCTGTGTGTCTGCAGTTATGTAAACTCCTCCTGCGGAAATGCAAACATGCTCACTGCAATGTTTTTCACTCAGGAATATAAACTAATATCAAAGTATTATGAGAAATCACATACAGACGCCCTCTGTAGATTACTAAAATAACTAGATTAAACCGATAGATTCTCTTGAGTATATAGAAGCTGCTAGTGTCTTTAGGATATTTGCTATCATCATTAGTTTCATGCATCAACACAGGATGGATATTCACCCCTCATTTTCTTTTTTTTTCCTAATAATGATGTAACAGTCTTAAGAATCACTAACAGTCTACATGTTATACAGTGATTGAGTATAATGATTAAAAAATCTAGAACCAAAATGACAGATAGTAAAAATATTTTAAGGATTTAATACTTATTTTAAAATGTTTTAGTCTGCATTTTAGGACACTCTCACTCTTGCTTTATCTTCTCGGATCTGTGTTGACAACATTACTGTTTTCTTTTCTTTGTATTCCCTCTGCCGGAACCCTCTTTAGTCTTGCTCTTTGACCACACAATACCTAATTTTCTGCGATTTTTCAGAAACCGAGAGAGGCTGACAACCTTAACATTAGTGATTGACACCAGCAAAGCACACGCTTGACGGACAGCTGTCGACTGTGGTTCCATTCATGTAGCACATACTAACTGTACTCACTTTAAAAATTCAGTTGCGCCTCCTGAAATTTTAAGGGGTCGCTTTTGTTATAGAATATGGTTGATGCTCTCTTTCATACCTGAGCTGTGTATGAACACAAACAGGACTGACAACCATATTCTGCTGCAGTTATGAACAGCCCTAGAAAGGCTTGAAATGATAATGTTTTGGTATTTGTTCATTTGCTTTTTTATTATTATTCCATGGATTTCGATTTAATTTAAGATCTCTGCGAGTCACCCTGGTTGTATCCCATGTCTTCCCACCTCAGGTACAGGACGCAGTGCGCTGCAGGATGGGTGGGTGCAAAGACGACAGTGAAAACTCTCCGGACTCCTGCAAGAACGGCCAGGTGCAGATCATGGTGAATAGGATTCCATTCCATCTCATCTCACATGGGACTCTCAGAGGGTCGGCTTCTCCACTTTTAAACATCACGGGCTACTGGGTGATTGTGTTTCAAATCGGATTTGTTTTGTAAATCGGAGCAGGTGACTATTCTAGAGTAGGTTGCTAGTTAAAGATCCCATCTATGTCTTGTTTCCTTTAGGAAAGTAATTTTGTGCAATTTCTAGTATTTAGATGAAAGTTATACAATCTGTGTTCAGTTAGAGACTTAAAGGGCACCTATTATGCAAAATTCACTTTTACATGTTGTTTGAACATAAACATAACATGTGTTGGCATTGTGTGTACACAACCACCCTATAATCATAAAAATCCACCCACTCCTTTTTTTAATCCCCATAAATCATAACCAGTGTCTCAAAACAAGCCGTTCACAGAATCTGTAAAATGTGACGTCACATTTTACAAGCCCCGCCTACGACCTGCTGTATTAGTAGAGACCCCACCTTGAGTGAGCGGCACACAATCCGCCATGTTTATCTTCACGTTAGAACATTTAAAGAAAACATTTTTTTCATTTTATTAAATCTATAGAAGTTTTAAGTTCAGTTTTTTATTTTATTGTTTGGGTCATATTAACAGCGTAGACAGCAGGATAGATACTGTATATTATGCTGCTGTCACTTAATACCAGTGGTGGACAGAGTACTGAAAATTTGTACTTAAGTACAAGTACTGTTACATTGCTGAAATAATACTCAATTACAAGTAAAAGTACTGGTGCCAAAACAGTACTTAAGTAAAAGTACAAAGTACTCCTCTCAAAAACTACTCAGAGTACTAGTTACTAGTTACTTTTTAGCCGGCGATATTTAATGAATTACCAAAAAATATTCATTCATATCAAATATCTATGTGGATAATAGCTACTTTGAACAAAACCCACTTTTATCTTATTGACAAAGTATGTGAATTAGTGGTCATGATACAGGAATTATTAACTTCAATACCTTGAAAAATATAAATATCAAAGTACCCGTGAACTGGAAGTTGCAACTGACTTCAGTGTTGCGTTCCAAGTGAAACGGAATATTGAATAAAGGGCGGGGTTTTATTGTGGTGCACCTCCACTCCACCTCTTGCTCATATTCACGGTTGGATAGGAGTGTTTAAGAATATCTGCTTGTTATGTCTGACATCACGCTTCACCGCTTATGGGTCCTAACGCTCTGCCAGACACCCCCCAAAAAACAACAAACTGTGCATACACACACTTATGATGTCATGTAATACTGAAAAATTATAACCCTAACCTTTATCTCCATACTGAAATCCCAGGTAGTCTGACAGTGATTCAGCTAAAATATAGTGTCTGAGACACTGTGAGCACGGAGACTGTAGTGTGCACAGCAAATTTTTAAATGCTTAGCTTAAATATGTAATATTAATTAAATAATGCTCATAAATGGCTGTCCAGATAGTATTCTCAAGTGAAATGAGTAAAGGCATGGACCCGGAAGGCATGACTTAACAAGAGGATTCTCCCCAAGCCGTCAAACTGAGGTCACCAGAACGAGAACGCCATTCCAGAGCAGAAGCCAATTTTCAGTTTTTGATTAAAGATTACGACAGCAGACAATTTTTTTTCCAGTGTATTGACTTGCACGGTTTAATTGTTCACCACAAGACTAGTAATGTGCACTAAAAAGTAAGTAGGGTCATTTTTGATTTCATGACAACTAATCATTTTCAATACCATTGGCAAAACTAACACATACTACTGTACTGCCATATAGATATTTTAATATTTTACTTTTTTTTTGCACATCCATTTTTTCAAGGCAATCATTATTTCAAGCTTTGAAATTGGTTTAATCCAAGTCTTCTAAAAAGACACATTCGCTATATATGATGAACATATTTTAATATAGGCTTTTATTTACATACATATAAATATTGATCAATTACCATTACAAAAATCTCAATCTTAAACATTTGCTCATTCTGTGTATTTGTGTCTTTAGAATAGGGTAATTTTGTTGCAAAAGCGTACAGCACAAGAAAGCTTGATTTCAACTTTGATTTCAAACTGAATTGAATTTACAAAAAAAGACAAGTTCAGTCAATAATAAAATTATAAAACAAATGACCTCAATTCAGTTGAGGTATTTCAAATATCGAAATATGAATTTTTATAAGCAGTGATTTAAGAGCCATATATGTTAGACCTATTTATTTAGATAAATGGGATAAATGGAGGCTTTGACCTGTAATGTCTGTACAATGTAGTGATGCAGTTAGACACAGACAGACTAGGATATTTATATGTACAAATCAGACAAATATCCCATTC